AAAAAAATGATCTGATCAATCCCGAGAAGGATATCCTTTCCAAGTAGCGCTTTTATGGATCTCCAAACCCAACATGATTTCAATTTATATCAAACTCAAAATGAAACTTCAAGAGCCTTCTTCATTTCATAAAATATAGGATAACAATTCATGGGGAACATTGTTCTATACCTCTAAAAAAAATCACACCATTATCAAAGCCCTTCAATTTCAATTTTAATCAAAAGCTCGCGAGAAAGGCAACATTCCAAAACCAAGACTCAAATCCAGCATACACTTCAACAAGAGGCAGCAAGAAAGCCTTAAAAATGTAATTTCCAACATTTCAAACAACTTCCAACATGAATTTCAATAAGGGACAGCAAAGAAAGTAGAATGAGAGTCCTAAAATGTAATTTCCAGCATTTAAAAACGATATCCAACATGTATTTCATCAAGGGGCAGCAAGAGGAGTGAGAAATCAGCCTCCAAACATAATTTCTAGCATTTAAAAAAAAGCATTTAAAAAAAACGATAAGCATTTAAAAACGATATCCAACATGTATTTCACCAAGGGGCAGCAAGAGGAGTGAGAAATCAGCCTCCAAACATAATTTCTAACATTTAAAATAATCTTCCTCTCAAATCGGCAAAAATAGAAACAAAAGTCGCCCTCAAATCCCCTCCAAATCAACCAAAACATACGGCAAAAGTAGCTTTAAATTCTCCTTCAAATCAACCAAGACATAGAGCTAAAATAGCTCTCAAACCATTTCTTCCAAATCAGAAAAATAGAGAGCAAAAAGAGCTCTCAAACATTTTTTCAAATTAACAAAAACATAGAGCAAAACAGCTTTTAAACCATTTCTTCCAAAGCAGAAAAAAAAACGACAGAGCAAAAGGTGTGGAGAGACTAAGGGGTTTACTTACGCACTGTCAATATTTTATAACAAAAACATAGAAGATGCACAACCAGGATAACTATGGCTTCACCAATATGAGCATATAACAAAACATTATGCAACCATAAATAGATGTTATACTTCATGCATAACTCAGCAACCACATTGGCATATAAAAGCACGAATTTCCACTCCAGCCTCCATACCCAATTCCAAAGGGATATCAGATAACCAACAAAAAGAAAGTGGAGCTTCTTCAATAGAGGAGATAGAGAATTACAACAATCATGCATGAGCCTCTAGCATCGCTCACCAATCACGTCGGCATATCTAGCAACAATCACTATAAAACCCATGAATCAATTGCAGTTCCACAAAATGCTTTGGACACTTCATAAAGTGAACCTCAAATAAATGAAATAATATGCTAGTGGAAGCAACCTTACACACAACATGTGCCTAAATCAAAGCACATACTAATGCGTGCATCTCATGCATTTCAAAAGGGCATTGATTGAATAGAAAGTGAAGAGATAGGCTACCTAAGCCTCAAATGCATTTTTCTCATTTCATAAAATAATTTGCAACATGTATTTCTTACTTTCCAACATTTCAAGCAATGAAAATGATAGAGATAGCCCTCAAGCATGCTTTTCCATAGACATTCATGAAAGAATAAAGATGCATTTTTTAAATGTTTTACCAATGCTCTCAGATTTTTGCAAATACACCACCCGAATGTTTCAGATTTTGCAAATACATAGCCTAAATATTTCAGATTTAATGGTTCCACAGTAGCAACCTTCCATACTCTTTTGGAAATAAATAAATAAATAAATAAACATAACCAGCTATGCAGCAAAGGGAACAATATTCAGCTTATATGAT